TGGGCTTTTCAAAGTACCTACATATATTGAGAAATTGCAAAGGCCATTCACATACCCAGGGCTTGAAACATTCTCATATAAGGCCTGAGAAGTCCGAAAGCTTTTACCACTGGTTAGCTTCAGGCTTCATGCTAGTAGGAAGTGAAGGCTAAGGCCGAATTGCAAACAGCATGGCTAGGCATTGTATTTATGCCTGAACACTGATCCAATTTGCAAAGACTGGGAGAGCAGCATTTGTGTGTTTTGCCGCCCCCCCCCCGTTTTTGTTGCTCAAGGTGTTTAAGTAATTTGTTAAGACATTAGCTGGCCAGTAAGCTAACATAACACATAGCAAAGAATTTAGATTATGAAAATAGTTTAGAAAACTCCACTACCTAGACTAACAACAATAACAATCCACAGTGAGCCACAACAACAAACTCTGGGGATGAGGAAGAATCTGATTTCCAGCTACTATATTATAATATTCAAAATCTCCGGTTTTCAACCAAAAATTACTAGGTGTCTTAGGCTGGATTCCTAGAGAAGCAAAACTGGTGGTGGTGATTTGCTATCTAGATGGTTTGACTCATAGCAAACCTTTTATAGGGTTTCCGAGGCTCTGGTAGCGTAGTGGTTACGAATCGGGCTGCGAACCTTAGGGTCAGCGGTTCGAAACTACCAGCCGCTCCGCGGGAGAAAGATGAGGCTTTCTACTCCCGTAAAGATTTACACCCTCGGAAACCCTGTACAGGGTCGCTATGGGTCGGACCCGACTCGATGGCACTTAACAACAACAACAACAAATCTTTGCAGGAGCAGAAAACCTCATATTTCTCCCACAGAACAGATGGTGGATTCAAATTGCTGACCTTGTTGTTAGCAGCCTAATGTTTAACTCACTGTGCCATCAAATCTCCTTTATATATACATATATACAGAGAGAGATGCACTGATATATTTCCAAGAAATGGCTCACTGGGTTTTAGAGGCTAGCATGCAAAGAAACAAGAAAGCATGGTTCATTCACAGGAAGAAATTAATAGAAACTGTCCCTAAGGAAGCTCAGACATTGAACTTAATATAAAATTTAAGTCAAGTATATTAAATATTTTCAAAGTACCAAGGGAAACCACGATTAAAAATGTTTCACCAAGTAATTACTAGTGCAGAATTATAAAAAACAAAACAGAAATTCTGGAGCTGAAAAGTATAATAATTGAAATGGAAAATTCACTGGAGGGGCTCAGTGTAGATTTTATCAGGAATAAGAAAGAATCTGAACTTGAAGATAGATCAAGTGAGATTATCCAGTCTGAGAAGCAGAAGAAGTAATAGCTGAAATTGAACAGAGGCTGAGAGACCTGTGGGACACCATCAAGAGTACTGACATACTCAATGGGAGTACCAGAGGAACAGAGGAGAGAGAGAATATTTGAAGAAGTAATGACCCAAAACGTAACCAAACTTCATGAAAGACACGGATAAACTGAAGAGATCTATACGAAGACACATTGTCAGATTGTCAAGAGAGTACCTTGAAATCAACAAAAGAGAAGTGACTTGTTATAAGGGATACCATTTTCTTCTCAGAAACCATGGATGCCAGAGGGCAGTGGGATGACATTTAGTGTGCTGAAAGGGGGGAAAAAAACCCCAAAAAACTATCACTCAAAAACTGTCTGGTAAAGTGGTCCTTCAAAAATCAGAAAGAAATTAAATCATTCCCTGATAACAAGAACTGAGGTAGTTTGTTATCATTGCTGTTGCTGTTAAGTGTCGTCGAGTTGGTTCCAATCCATAGTGACCCTGTATCGGGTTTCCGAGGAGTAGCTGGTGAGTTTGAACCACTGACCTTGTAGTTTAAACGGCTTTGCAGTCTGGTGCATTAGCCCACCTGGACTCCTTGTTACCATTAGGTCTGCCCTAAAAGAAATGCCAAAGGGGGTGCTTTCGGCTAAAACAAAAGGATATTAGACAGAAACTCAGAAGCCTTAATTAAAGAATGCTAGTGAGGTGTCTACATAGGTAAATATAAAAGCCAGTTTTGTATGTTTTTCTAAATGATTTAAAGAATAAATGTGTAAAGTAATAATTACAAATCTGTGTTAATTGGTACATGTTAAGGATATAATTTGCAAAAGTAGGAGGGGAAGGGATAGAGATGTGTAAGAGTAGGTTTTTTATATGCTATTGAAACTGTTGGTATTAGTTCAAACTAGGTGGTTGTATGTTTAAGATGTAATCCCCAAGGTAACCCTTAAGAAGATAAATAAAACAAAACAAGGAAATGCAAAGGGAATCAAAATGGTATAAAAATTAAGGTAAAATGGAGGCCATGAGGAACAAAATAGATACGACATAGAAAACAAATAGTGAAAGTACATACATTAGTCCTTCCTTATCATAATGACTTTAAATGTATATAGTTTAAGCTTTCTAATTAAAAGGCAGAGTTTGGCTGAATGGATACCAAAACATGATACATTAACATGTTATCTACTTAAGATCCAAAAACAAATAGGTTGAAAGTAAAAGGATGGAAAAAGATAATCTATGGCACTGTAGGATAAGCAGTGGACCCAAGATTAGCAGTTTAGATCCATCAGAAATCTTATACAGTGTTGCTATGAGTCAGAACCGAGTGTACGACACTTAAAAACAGCAGTACTAATATCAGACAAAATAGACTTTATAACAAGTTTTACAAGGTATAAAGAAGGCCTTTATTGATAAAAAGTAAAAATGTAACGATTATAAATATGCACAGCAAAGGACAAGCCTCAATGTATGAAGCAAACATAATTGAAGAGAGAAATAGGTAGGTCTAATAATAATTGAGCATTTTCTTAACATACTCAGTATGGGGGGAAACATGGTGGCTCTGTAGGATAAGCACTGGACTTCTAATAACTACAAGGTCAGCAGTTTGAGCCCACCAGCCACTCCACAGGAGAGAGATGAGGCTTTCTGCTTCCATAAAAATTTGCAGCTTTGAAAACCCTAAACATGGTCGCCGTGAGTCTGAACTGACTGAGGGACACTAAACAGCCAAACAGCAACTCTGTCTTGGATAGAGAAAGTAGTCAAAAGGTCATTAGGAAATAGAACAATCTGGTGCTGTACGATCAGCACTGGACTGCAAACCACAAGGTTGACAGTTCAAACCCACTACCGGCTCCTCAGAAACCCTATACAGGGTCGCTGTGAGTCAAAACTGACTCGATGGCACTAACAGTAAGTCTCCTAGGCCTACCAGACATATATAGAACACTCCACTCAACAATCCCAGAATGCATATTTTTCTCCATATGGATCGTTTTTCAAGGATGATATACCCATATGTTAAGTCACAAAACAAGTCTCAAATTTAAAAAGAGATTGAAATGATACAAATTTTCTCTTCTAACCACAGTAGAATGAAACTAGATGTCAGCAACAGTGAGGGTTTGTAAGTATAGATGTGAGATGCAAAGCTGGGAGGACTTTAGGAAGGATAGAGGGAGAATAGTCTAGAAACAACAATAAAAAGCAAAGAAAACCACCCAACCTCCAGGCCCCGTAGTGAGAGGGGTCTAGGGTTAAATAGACACTATTTGATTGGATTACAGTTAAAGTGATCTTAAGGAGAATTCGGTTTCTATTCCAGAGGATGGCCATGAACTCCAGTAGAAACTATGGAAGGACTTCAAGAATGGGGAAAGCACAGAAAAGGGATTGTGCAGAGCACTGTGGGGATTAGAGCACAGGAGATGATAAGTGACTTGGGAATCTGGGCATTCTTGTGAGTTATTTCAGTAGGGTTAATTAGGAATGATGGGTGTGTAGTCAGATTTAAGTCAAACAGTAGAGGAGAGGCTGTTGTAAGTTCCATAAGTAAGCTCTGGTGGATTTGGTCTGGGACCCTAACTAGCATTTCTTTTTATTAGAAATTGTTTTGATATGAATAACCATATATAAACACATATTTGAAGAGTAACAAAAATTAAAGTGAAGCAAAATGCTTTATATGATGTATATTAGTTTGCTTAGCTTTATATTTTGTGTGTATAATATCCTCACAAAGGTCTCATTTTCAGTGTTGAGTAGAATTAGAATATAATGTATTGTCATTGTTCGCTTTTTATTTGCATTTGGTCACTTAGAATTTGCTGATAATCCTCACTTTACCTAACCATTCATCTACCACAGTAATTATAAAAAAGAAAATACTCCTAGAATTATTAGCATTCAAAGAACCTTGTATTTTTAATAGGGTCATCAGGGCGGGCCTGAAATTGACTTTACCTTCCCATGTTTTAAAATGTTGATTTATTAATCTGTGATATGTACAGGAGCAGCTGTCAAGCTAGCAGTTCATGGTCCAAACCCACCCTGCAACTCTGCAAGACAAAGACCTGGTGATCTGCTCTTGAAAAGATTACAGACAAAATACTCTATGGGGCAGTTTTACTCTATCATGTGCAATTGCTATGAGTCAAAAAATGACTTGCTGACCCAAACAGTAGCAGTATGTATAGATACCTGTTTTGAAGGGAAAATTAGTGATCAAGCAATTACACTTAATATTAAAGTTAAGAAATCAAAGTAGGTAAAAGTATAAAACGAAGATGGTTTTGCATTTCTACATTTACCAGTCTTGGCCATTTCCATCTTCACTAAGAACTTGTAAAGACAGTTAAGAAAACACACAGAAAAATCCCCAGAATAAATATCATGCAGTATAAAGTCACTTTATTAAGTAGTCTAATTTCATTCAAAATATTAGCATGCATAGTGTAGTAAAATGTGTCCATTGAAACTGTTTTCTTTGTGCTCATCAGAGCTATTTTCCAACGTGAATAGGGTTGTTGCCATGATAATCTTTGTTTTGAATTCACATGTTAGGTATGTTCAGGCAGAGCATTGAAGTGTATTCTTGGTCTACAGATTTTTAAAATCTAATTATTGGTAAATATTATTTTAGTTAAATTTTATGTTCTATATTAAATAGAAAATTTTTGTTATTATTTTTTTTAAAGGAACCAAGTGGAGAGACTCCATCATCTTTATACAGAGTTGCAGCAGTACTTCTACAATTTAATCTTATTGATTTAGATGATCTTTATGTACATGTAAGTCACATGGTCTGCTAAGAATATCTGGTTGTCCATTTCAGGTGGGGGAAGGAGAAGGCAGACACATGGTACTTTAAGGTTGGCTTTAGGCACTCCAAGTCTTCAGTGGTTCAAGTTCACCAGCTGCTCCTTGGAAACCCTATAGAGGGTCGCTATGGGTCGGAACCGACTCGATGGCACTTAACAACAACAACAACAATACTATTTTATAACTTGAATGAATTTAAGTCTTTTCTTCAAACTGAATATGGAAATCAAATACCGATGGTCACCCTTTACAGAATTTGAAGTTGGATATGAAATTCAAGTTCTTAATTGCTCTCAAGATAATGGGCCTTGAGGACAAAGGCTAAGTTCTAACCAATGTGGCTTTAGGCTTCTCTGTTAAACACAGTTTATGGGAATTATGGGATACTTACCTATTCCTTTTCTGAAAAATACTACTTTTGGGCATTGAGGATAAATGGGAAACTGTTAGTATATTTTAATTTTTTCTTGTGTTTTTACTGGATAGTAAATGACTAACATTGTGTTTTTATTGCTGGAACCATAATGTAGAAGAGTGCGTATGTGATTATTATAGATGACCTCTCCTTTAGCAATTTGATCTATCAATGTGTAAAACATAGGTTTGTAGTTTAGAAATTCCTGTTACTAGGTTTTGTATTAGGATATCTTTACCTGTATTACATCATCTTCACTGCCTTTCAAGTCACTTTCTAACTTCCCTGTTATTAGTTACTATGAATAAAACCTAATATGTACTTTGGAATCCATTCTAGTGCAGCTATGAGGATAAACATTTTACATTATATAATCAGTGCCATATAGGAGGTTTGTACAAATTGCTGTGGGAATTAGCATAGATAGCATATCTGCGTAGTGATTTTGAAAGACTTAACAAACTAATGATGTTGAACTATAATCTTGATAAAATGAGTAGGTATTGGCCAGGTGGAGAAGTGAGTTGGGGTTAAATTGTGAAGGAATTGCGATGATTTTTTTTCTCAGGAAGAGAGCCATTCAGTATTTAAATTGGAGAGTTGGTGCGTAGACTAAGACTATGGAAAAGGGAGAATTTCCAGATATTTGTATGAATTTAGATCAGGTAAAGACTGGTACGGCACTGTGGGCTAATGCACTGGACTGCAATGTTTTGAACCTCAAGGTTGGCAGTTCAAACTCACCAGCTGGTCCCCAGAAACCCTATACAGGGTCGCTATGGGTCGAAATCGACTCGATGGAACTTAACAGCAACATAAACTAGTAGGACAAAGAGAAAGTACAAAAATGTTAATAGATTTATTATTGAGTTATTTGAGCGTAATATTTCACCACATTCTCTTGTTTGCCGATTGTTTCCTTTGCATTAGATTTACATACTAAAATAGATTACACTTTTCTAGGGGGTTAGGAACACTTCCTTTACAACTACTCAGAGTACCTAGCTCAAACCCCTAAATAGTGGTTTGTTGCCTATATTTTTTGCCTGTATTGGAGTTATTTTATGAAATGTGCTAATTTACCATCTTCCATTTGAACCTTTGCCATAATGGGGTGTTGCCTGCAGACATATTACTTTCTAGAAACTAGTTTGTGTCTTAAATCTTATATTGTTATGTGCCATTGAATCGTTTCTGATTTATAGTGACCCTGTATAGGGTGTCCAAGAAGGTGGATTTGAACTGTCAGCTTTGTGATTATCAGTCCAGTGTTTATCCTATAGTGCCGCACCAGGTCTCTGAAATCAGATAGGTATCTAGAAGATTAAAAGTGAAATGTTAAGGTATTGATTTTTCTAATTGAGGTTTTTCATTTAGAGAAATAAATCTTTATATAATTCAATAGCTTGCCTCTCCCTGATTGGATCTATATACAGTACTTCATTTAACTTAGAATTTGGCCTTCAAAGAAGAAATCTGTGTTATTTTCTAATGAAACAGATACATATTTTCTAGGGTAAGCTAGTAAATTCAGTGGTAAGCATTACTGGTGTAGTATATTAATGTAGACTAACTGTCAGTGGATACTTGGTGTGGCACTGGAGGATCAGCACTGGACTGCTAGCCAAAAGGTTGGTGGTTCAAACCCACCAGCTGCACCTTGAAAACCCTATACAGTGTTGCTGTAAGTCAGAACTGACTTGGTAGCACTTAACAACAGCAGACAGAAAGGAGCTCTGGTAGTGTATTGGATAATGAACTGGACTGTTAACCACAAGGTCAGCAGTTCAAATCTATCAGTGGCTCCTTGGGAAAAAGATGAGGTTTTCTGCGCCTGTAAAGATTTACAGCCTCAAAAACCTTATACAGGGTCACCATGAGTTGGAACCTACTTGGTGTAGTATGCAACCACCACCAGCAGACAGAAGGTAGGACATTTCCAATTGATACCTGATTTTAAAAGGTGTCCAAAAATCAGGTACTAAATCTTGTCAGATCATAAGAAAATAACCAAGAAAAGCTTATGAAGGGGCTTCAGAAAGTTCATATAAGGATTCCATTATCTTTAAAAAAAATTTTTTTTTTAATAAGCCCCTTGTTGCAGGTACTGTGTCAGTACATCTCATTGAGGGTCTTCCTATTTTTCAATGACCCTCTACATTCCCAAGCATGATACCCTTTTCCAGGTACCTCTTGATAGCATGTTCAAAGTATGAGAGAAAAAGTCTATAATCATTCTGGCTTCTAAGGCGTGTTCTGGCTGCACTTCTTCCAAAACAGTTTGTTCTTCTGGCAGTCCATGATAAATTTAGTACTTTTCACCAATACCGCAATTCAACTGCATCAAGTATTCTTTGTTGTTTATTTGTTGTTGTTAAGTGACATGGAGTCGGTTCCAACTTATAGCCACCCTGTATAGGGTTTCTGAGGAACAGCTGGTGAACATGAACTTCTTCTGACCTTGCGGTTCAAACCGACATTGCAGTCCAGCGCATTAACCCACAACACCACATCAGGACTCCAAGTATACTTTGGTCTTCCTTATTAAGGTCCAGCTTTTGCTTGCTTATGAGGTGATTCAGTATACCATGGCTTGGGTCAAGCACACTCTTGGTCTTGAAAGCCCTGTCTTTGCTTTTGAACACTTGAAGAGCCTTGGAAACCCTCTGAAACAGATCTGTTGTGTTCTATAAAGTTGTCATTAGTTGGAATCAACTTGACAGCAACACTTTTAGGTCTTACTCTCTTATTCTTTCCCTCCCCCTGCCTCAGCCCTAAGAATCCATTATCCACTGTCTTCAGCTCAGTCGCTTTTTTATTTTTTATTGTGAACTAAGTGATAGTTTACATGAGAGAGCATTGGGTTTACACCATTGTTTCATTGCAATGATTACAGTCTCCTGCGTGCATCATCATTCATTCAACAGTGTTTGTTTCCATTCCCTCTGTTTTTTTGTTGTTGTTTTGTTTTGGGGGCTGGGGGTTGGACACAAAAACACTCAGCAACATGTAATAATTTAAACAACCAAAGGGCACATTCTGCAAGCCTGCCTCATGGATGCCAGGATTCTATTATCTTTTAATTCCATTTTCCTTGAGCTTTTTGAAGCCTCTTCGTATTTAGAAGGGGAATCATGGTCATTGAGTAGACTAGACGACTTATTGGACATTTTTATCAGTTGAGAGTAGTCTTCACTTTTTTTAGTTGAGCAAATTGGTATTAGCTATTATCTGACCTTTTGATGAACTATTTTTAGCTTCTTCCAGCTGATCATTGCATTATGGATGAACATAAACGAGAAATAGTGGAAGCTAAGCAAATTGTTAGAAAACTTACAATGGTTGTATTATCTTCTGAAAAAATTGATGAACGAGAAAAAGAAAAAGAAAAAGAAGAAGAGAAGGTAGAGAAGGTATGTAGTTTATTTTAGTAAAGTTAACAGTGTCTTCTGGATTTAGAATCATGAATTTAAGATGTGGCAGCGTGATTTGCTAAGCAATTTTGATGATATGAAACCTGATTTTGGGGATGCTGATTTATAAGTTTATTTTTAATCTGGTTGATGATATCCTAAAAAGATTCTGCCATAATTTTTCTCATAAATATTTAATTTAAAAATTATTCTAAGTAAAATCACAAAATGGATTGACTTCACCTATTTGTATACTTTATATATCAAGATCTTAAAGGGATTATAAAGTAAAAAGTGAGCTCCAGTTCTATGTGACAAAATATATCATTTAACAAATCTTAATTTAATTTCACATCTGTAAACTGTTGCTCCTGTGTCTGTTAAACATACTTTCAGGAAAATACTCTTGAGTTTCTCACAGATGACAGCTATTATTGATATATATTATGTTGTGTAACTCAGTTTTTTAATGGAAACATTTCTTGCTGTGTGTATGCTAATCATCTTTGCTTTGATTGTTCATTTTTAGCCACCAGATAACCAAAAGCTTGGTTTGTTGGAAGCCTTGTTAAAGATTGGTGATTGGCAGCATGCACAGAACATTATGGATCAGATGCCTCCATACTATGCAACTTCACATAAGCTAATAGCCCTTGCTATTTGCAAGCTCATTCATATAACCATCGAGCCTCTCTACAGAAGGTATGTTGTTGGATACTGTTCAAGTTATAGAGGTAGAAATAGTTGAGGACTACAAACAAAATTGCAATACTTATCTTCTCTACTCAAAATAAGCATATATTTTAGTATGTTTTATCACAGGATAACTTAAGAGTATGTCACTCTAATATTGATCAATGACTTGTTTCCTAGTGTCTAAAGCAGGTATAAAAACTGGGCTAAAGTTGGAAAAGATTGAAGTTGTCAAGGACTTCATTCTTCTTGGATCAACTATCAACACTC